AGTGGCAGGAGAGACTAGCAGGAGAGACTGTGCAATGGACTCCCCAGTCCAAGGAGTGAGAAAGCTGAACGCCTTCGGGTAGAGGCCGAGGGCCAGGGAGAGGTGTGCCTGTGAGCATGACAGGGAAGAGTCTGTCCTGACTGAAGAACTGTATCCTGAGTATTTCTCAACCCGAATTGTAACCTGTTACTCCCCTAATAAACCCCATAACTGTGAGTATAGTCTGTGAGTTCTGTGTGGCCATTGCAATGAATTTATCAAACCCAGCAGAGAAGTAGGGAGTGCTGTGGGAGGGACTGTTGGTTTCAGAATTGGTCAAGATGGCAGAGATAAGAGAACTTCGCCTCATAGGAATCAGCCTCGGGCTGTTGATCTTGATTCTCCTTTCCCCTAGTGAAGAGAGAGGAAGTCAGACACTGACCCCATGCCATTTTTGCATCTAGAAAAGATAAAGACCCACTATTATGAATGACAAACTGTATGTTTCCAGATAGGAGAGTCTGAATGATGGAGGCTCCTGGGAAGAGCTTCTGGACATTAGGTTGACCAGATGCTTCCATTGATTCCCTTCCTGGGCACTGCCTCTGGTCTGGGTCAGTCAATGAGTCTTACCAAGGTGTGAGCCATGAGCCCTCTACCCTTAATGTCCACAAATCAAGTTGGCACTTGTACAAAGGAAGGAAAAGACACTTTATCCAGAGATAAATAAGTGAGATCCTTCCGGTCAACAGAAGAACCTAAAAAACTCTAGGTGTCAGGGCCTGACCCTGGGCCACCCTGATGTGGTGGGCAGGCTGTGTAGACCAGTGTTCCCTAATTTGTTAAAGTCAGTCTCTGACTCAGGAGGTCTGGTGGGGAAGCTGAGATAATGCATTTCTAACAAGCTCCTGGATGATGTCCAGGCTGTGGGCATGTGGATCACACATTGAAAGCCAGACTGAAGGAGGCTTGCCTCACTCACCCAGCTCCCATGGTCTAACTCATGGGCCCACTGACCCCCACCCTAGCCTGATTTCCTCTCTCAGGTGCCCTGCTTCCCCATGGGCTCACACCACCCTAAGCTCCCTCTGACCAACACACAGACTCTCAAACTTTCCTAGAGGAGGTCCACAATACTGAAGACGCAATTTTTATTATGCCAATGAATGAATATGTTTGAATTTTTTATGACAGGAAACTCCCTGTCTGCAGCCTCGTCCCTAGGATAAATACTGAAGCAATGATTGTGTTAGATTGTGAGGTTCAGAGTTCCTGAAATGGCTGGCTGTCCTGTTATCTGGAGAGTTTTCAGAACACACAGCCCCAGGGTATGGGGAAGGTGTAGGGGGCTGGGATCAAACCAGAGGCTCCACCTCAGAGCTGAGGTGGGGGTAGACCCCGTCCTCCCCGCGGCCTCCGTGGCCACAGCTGAGAACAGGCCAGCAACCACGCCTCACACTTGCACGTCGACGTGTGAAAGCCACATATCACAGAGGCACGGGGAACACGAGGGAGCCCAAACCTCGAAGCTGAGCTGGGTCTTCTCCCAGGGGAGACCCTAGAGCAGAGGCTGCAGCACGGGGCAGTGCTGGCCGGGGCACTCACACTCTAGGGGGTCCCAGGGGCTCAGAGTCAGACCAGTGAGCATCCTTTGGGCTGGGGCTTCACTTGGGCTGTGTGAACGCGGCTCCTGGCCTGCAGATGCCATCACACACAGAGGCCAGGTGTGGTCAGAGAATGCCGCATGCAGGGGGCTGAAGGTGGCCATGTCTCTTTAAGGAGGCCGAGGGCAGCAGGGAGCCCTGGAGAGGTTCTGAGCAAGGGAGCAGTGACCCAGTGGGTGTGTGATTTGCAGAGCCTCAGAGTCCTGTGAGGCTGGGGGTGTCTGAAGAGGGGACAGAAGGGGAGGGCCTCCCAGCAAGCACCTAGGGTGTGTGCAGGGGAGGGGGGAGTCGAGGCTGGAGGCAGGGCAGGTCAGGTCACCTCTGGGCTTCGTGAGGGTCTCAGGAGCAGACTTGGTGAGGGCTCGGAGCAAGTCCTTTCTGGGGCTCAGCCTTGGTCTCGTTTCTAAAGCCCAGGACCAGGCCTGGTGTCTCTGAGTTTCCCTTGGGTCTGGCAGTCCATGGTGTGGTCGGGGGCATCAGGGGCCTCGGAGACAGCCTGACCCTGTCTTAGCCTCTGGGGGCGTGTGGAACGGCTGGGCTCAGGCCCAGTGACTGGTTCTCCTCCCAAGGAACCCGTATGCCGTGGGGTCACCCCACATTTAGATGAGAGCAGAAATCAAATTAACAGGCCTGCCTTCCCTCCCCAGGAAGATGGTCGGCAAACTCCTGGCCCTGTGGCCCCTTGATGAGGGGCTGTGGGACTTCCTCATCCAGTTGGCTGGTTCCACAGGTGCCAGGGACAGCCAGACGCAGGAGCTCCATGGCCCAGCCTTCAGCCCCCCACCCAGGGTCTCATGAGGCTTCCAGGATGCAGGTGGGGGAATAGGCATCCTCCTTCTGAGGACCCCAGGCTCAGGGTGGGGAAGTGACCACCGTGAGGTCAGAGTACAGTAAGGGGCGGATCTGAGGTGTCAGTGGACGTTGGCAACACCCATCCTGTTGGTTTCTTGGAACAGGGCTTTCAGGCGGGGCGGTCCTCCTCTCCTTCATCTTGAAAGAGGAAGCTGCCAGCGGGGCCCCAGGTACTGCTCCATGGTCTCTGCCCAGAGGCCCCCGCTCTGAGTGAGCGACCAGACCCCAGAGGATTTCAGCTGACTATGGAACCATGGGCCTCTATGGGCAGGGGACAAACCATGACTGAGCACCCGCTGTGCCTGGGTGATTCTAGGAGCTGGGCATGCAGCAGAGAGCAGACCAGGGTCTGCCTCATGGGGCTCTCAGACCCCGACTTGGAGTAATCACTGTACTTCATAGTGGCTGTAAGGCTTGGGCAAGGAACTCAGCCTCAGGGCCTTAGTCTGCTCACTGTACAAAGCAGGACTAGCGACCCCTCCCTCAAAGAGTTGTAGGAAAAGCATGAAGGATGCTGGGCCAGATTCCCCAGCAATCACCAAACCATACACCCAAACCTCTCTCCAACACAAGCCTCTTATTTTCCAGTTGAGGGAGCCTGGGGCCCAGAGAGGTGCGTGACTTGCCTGGGGACATAGAGGTGTCCCTGGCAGAGATGGGACCCACCCAAGCTCCTTCCTGGCCCTTAGGCACAGGCTGTTTTTCTGTCCCAGGATCCCAGTGGGGTCTGGGCTAGGGCAGGTCTCAGCTGGGCTCAAAGGCATGCCTGGCAGGGGGCTGTGTGTAGGCTTCCCGGCCCTGGGGATGCTGTACGGGGAACGAGCTGGGCAGGTGGAACCATCCGGTGAGGATGTTGTCACCGGGGCCAGCCCTGGGCTCAAAGGTGAGAGAACCAGTCTGGCGTCATTGGCTCATCGCAGAAATCTGTTTAATGGTTTAGGAATGTGTACACTGTGGCTCTGCTAAGTTTCCAGAAAGGCAACTTTTCCATGTTTTAAAAAATAGATTTGATATAAAGATTCATATATTCATAAATAGGTTAACATGAAAAATTTCCCAAATGCAAATGGCATCCTTGGGCAGGCTAACATCCCCCCTCCCCCAGCAGTCCAGGCCTGGCAGGGGCAGAGGCCAGGCTGGAGGGGCTGGCCCCTGGAAGCCCTCTTGGGGAAGAGTAACTGAATTCAATATGAATTAGGAGCTTCTCCAGCTCCACCTCTGCTGGGGCCTGTGTCCTTGGAGTCAAAACCTCCTTCTGGGAGGACAGAGATCCACCTCTCTGGTTGGGAGCTGCCCAGAATTCAACACCTTTAGAAGTCTGGACTTCAAGTTCCTATCCTGCCCCAGCCGTCCCACTGTGAGTGTAAAACACCAATCTCCTTCCTGTTCTTTAAGCCCTGTCCACCGGCCCTATCCAGGCCTCAGGCGGCCCTTCTCCCACGGCCCTTGTGGCTGCTGGAACACCTCCTGGCCTTCTGCCCCCTGCACCCACCCCAGCCCCCTGCCTCTGCCCCCGACCCCACCTGCTCCAGCTCCTGGGCAATTTATAAACAAAGGAAGAGATTAAACTGTTCTCCTCTTGCCCCAGAGGCCCTGGGCTGCTGGGAGAGGGCCAAGCCTACCAGGGGAAGGAAACAGGCTGGTTTTGTTCTGTCTCACACTTCCCCATTTTCTCTTGAGTCTGGTCCCCATCTGACAGTGAGGGCTCCGCCTGAGGGGTACTACAGAGGCCAGCCGCCACCCCACACACAGTGAACCCTCCAGGGGCCTGAACCCCTTCTTAATGTCATCTGTTTCTGAGGGCGGATAGGCAAGAGGGGAAGAGTGCCTCTGTTGGGAGCTGACAGGAAATGGCTTCAGCCTGGCTCCAGGGGACACCACCAGGCCAAGGGGTGGGGAAAGGACTCCTGCTTGAGAGGGTATGTGGGCATGGGACTGCGCCAGGCATGGGGCACCGCTCCTCAGAGGTATGTCCAGCTAGGCCATTTGTGGGATTCTAAACTACACAAATAAAAGGGCAAGTCGAGGAGGGGAGGAAGGGCCTGCGGCAAGGAGGCCTGAACAGAGGACACTCATGGGGAACAAGGAAGTGCTGGATAGAAGCTGAGGTGGAGCTGTGGAGGCCCTGGGTACCTGCATGGGATATGGACTGCACAGGAGGGCCCCAGGGCACCTCAACAGGTGTTAGAGCTGGGGAGACACGACTTCCAGCACTGTCATTCTGAGAGAAGCCCCCAGTTCGGGCGGAGGCAGCTGAGGGCAGGAGGACCACGGTGGTGAAAACAGCCAGACCAAACACAGCCAGGGTCTCACGTTTTTTGTTTGGGAAACACAGAAGCTAGGTGTCTGTTGGGACCAGCGGGGGAGTTGATGCTCCTGAACGTGGCAGGAAGGATTCCAGCTCCCGGGGTAGGACTGGGTGACTTGAGGGTCCCTCTAAGACCTGAGCCTCAGAGAGGCAAGCTTTTACTTTCATCTTAAATGTTCACTTTCCTATCTCATTCCCCGCAGCTCAGGCTCCTGTGAGCCAGTGCTGAAGAATTAGCTGGTTTTGCAACTTGAGTGGCAAAACTCTGGGCCCGAGCCAGCAGACAGTCCCCACTGGGCTGTGGCTATGACCCCACACTTGGTGCCAGTGAAAATGAGAAGCTCCTCTGGAGACCAGAGCACATAGGAGGTCGTGTATAAGGCAGCAAGCCAGGCCCCAAGGAGGTATCTGGGAACCAAGAGCTGGCAGTGAAGAAAGGAAGAAGGTTCCTCAGCTGAGGGGTGAGGCTACTCCAGGCCAGTGACCCATGTGGCAGCCTGTCGGTCTGGTTGCCGAATAGCTCTTGTTCTCTGCTGCTACACACAGGGGCCCTGGAGTGACCTGAACACCCAGGTCACCAGCTAAATCCCTAGAAAGCAGCTGCCTGTTGCCACAGCTGCAGCAAACTCAAGATATGAAATGCTAAGGAGTAGATATGGAGTAGGGGGCACTTCCCAGTCCCCCTACTGCTGTCCACACTGGCGGCTTAGGCCAGTCCTGGAATGTGAAGACCATGAAGGAAGGCCTCGGGCTACAGGGTGGGTCCACACCCCGCCCTGTGCCAGCAGCCCCTGCAGGAGGTTTCCTGCTTTTTGCTTCCTCAAAGGCCGCTTTCCTGCCAGGATGCAGGTCATGGGATGGGTAGTTCCAGGATCTCTCCAGCTGCTCTAGAACCACTGGTGCCCTGGAGGGTCAGCTCGGGGCTTGGTTTGGCAGGCCAGTGAGAGACAGAGGTGGGGAGGCCCAGCCTGCGTGCCCGCCATCCTGGTCAGCACCCGCAGCCCCAGCTCTCGCTGATGTCCTTGCTGTCCAGCTGGATGTGGTCGGTGCTCTTCTCACTGAACATGGGGCCCCCGTGCCGCATGATAAGCTCAGTTGCCACCCGTAGGAAGGCCTCCTCCACGTTGCTCGAGTCTTTGGCTGACGTCTCGATGGCACACAGGATGTCGTAGTGCTCAGCCAGGCTCTGCGCCTCGGCCAGTGGGACCTCCCGGTGCTCGCTGAGGTCTGATTTGTTCCCTGCAGAGAAAGGCCAGGTGCGGCTTGGTGAGGCCCACAGGTGTAGGGCAAGCCTGTTCTGAGAACCACAGCGTCCCCGCCCCTCTCTGCCAGCCACAAATAAGCACAGCTATGTAAGAGGAAGTCATTGCTTAGAGGGCACTGAGCTTCTGTTAAGGGTGATGAAAAAATTTGGAAAACGATAGAGGTGATGGTTATACAACATGGTAAACGTAATTAATGTCACTGAATTGTACACATAAAAATGATTGAAATGGCAAATGTTTTGTTATGTATATTCTACCACAATAAAATAAAGAGAGACAGGATTCATGGTCCCAAGGAACTCTTCCAACCCCAGTGCCATCCACCCCACCTCAGCTGCCTCTAGTCCCTCCAAACTCACCGATCAGCAGCTGTACGATGTTGGAACCCGCGTACTTCCTCACATCCTCAATCCAGTTAGGCACTGACAGGAAGGAGCTCCTCTTGGTAATGTCGTATGCAAGGATGGCTCCATTGGCACTGCGGTAGTAACTCTGGGTGATGGTGCGGAACCTCTCCTGGCCAGCCGTGTCCCAAATCTGCAGCTAAAGGAAAGAGGAGGCCTCCGGTGAACTTGGCAATGCAGGCCCAAACACAGGAGACAGGGAAAGGAATTCCACAAATCCAAGCCCAAAGCAGTGGTTCCACTGGGCAGGCCACCAGCCCAGCACCTTGGCAGTAATCACATAGGAGAGGCTAGAAGGTGGACAGAGAGAGGGAGAGCAACTCAGTGGCCCAACTTTGAGGAGGGAAGGAGGACTCAAAGGGAAGGTGGGTAGCCCTTGTCTCTGCTCTCTAGAATCCTCAGGGAAAGGCCAGGGCAGGGGCAGAGAAGACAAGATGTATTCTGAACTATAGCAGCAAGAGCACACAACCACGGGTCCTTTGTGTGTTCCCACTGTCTCCTAAACACTGGGCTAGATGCTCAAGTGCCCAGTCTGGTAAGCTGGCTCCAGGCCTGCTATCGTGTTGTGTCCAGGTCTGGGTTCCTTCCCCTCTTTGGGCCTGTAAAATGCACCACTGTACCTGGTGGTGTGTAAGAGCTCCTCCAGCATTTGGGTTCTCTAATTCTAGAGGTCAACCAATCTCAATTGAAGCAGAAGGCTCTGGGAGCAGCTTCCAGCTATGGTAGAGTAATTGGTAGTAGACCAGCCCTCCCTCTGTGAACAACCAAAAGACTGCAGAAAAATACATGAAGCTTCTGTTTTCAGAATGTAGACAAGTAGTTCAAAACGGTAATCCCTGAAAGAAGCAAAACCCATGAAGTGAGCCTCATGATTACCACAACTCTCTACCTGGGAACAACTTCCTGACCATAGGACAGTGGGCTAAAATCGAAGCACGACACTGAGCTGAGGAGGCAGAGATCAGAGCCTGAAAGAGCTGGAAAGAGGAATTATGCAGAGAAAGGCTCAAAAGTCTATGTGGCGGTCCCTGGTGAGTCCTTGACTGAGAGCTAGCCTGTATATTTGCAGACTAAGGGTACTAAAGTCTTAGCAAGGAGTAGCTCCCACAGGTTTGAGAAAAGACTGGAGATAAAGATTGAGTAGTGCTGGAGGACGTTGAAGTTCCAAGGCAGCCACAGTGAAGAGGTCTCATTAACACCTTGTTAGCACCCCAGATATTGAGCTGAGATGTCAGAAAGGCTGTGCCCTATGAGTGAGGACCATGCCTAAAGCCTCCACAGATCTGCCCTAAGCCAAACCTGTTGTCATCAAGTCGATTCCAACTCATAGCGATTGAATTATGTACTCTCTCAACCCTGAAAAAGTATGTGTCAACTTGGTTAGGCCATGATTCCCAGTACTGTGTGGCTGTCCTCCATGTTGTGATTGTAATTTTATGTTAAAGAGGATTAGGGTGGGATTGTAACACCCTTACTAAGGTCACATCCCTGATCCAATGTAAAGGGCGTTTCCCTTGGGTGTGGCCTGCACCACCTTTTATCTTATAGGAGGTAAAAGGAAAGGGAAGTGACCAGAATAGGGGGGACCTCATACCACCAAGAAAGCAGTGCCAGGAGCAGAATGCATCCTTTGGACCCTGGCTCCCCGAGCAGAGAAGCTCCTAGTCTGAGGGAAGATTGATGAGAAGGCCGCCAGAGACAGAAAGCCTTCCCCTGGAGCTGAAGCCCTGAATTTGGACTTCTAGCCTACTAGACTGTGAGAAAATAAATTTCTCTTTGTTAAAGAGATCCACCTGTGGTATTTCGGTTATAGTAGCACCAGATGACTAAGACAATGACCCTTACAGAACAGAGAAGAACTGCACCATAGGGTTCCAATGCTGTCAATCTTTATGGAAGCAGATTGCCACATCTTTCTCCCACGGAGTGGCTGGATTTGAACCACTGACCTTTTGGTTAATAGCCAAGCACTTAACCACCGTGTCACCAGGACTCCTAGACTTGCCCTACCAAAGCCTAAAACCAAGCCCCAACATGAGCCTCAGGTTTGGATGTTGAATTCTGCCAAGTTAGAGATGGTGGAGAAACATCTTAGCCTTTCCACATATCTGTCCTAATAAAGCATAAAAACAAGCCTATACAAGTTCAAGGTGATCAGCCAGTAATTGAACTGCCTACTAGAACAAAAGTCAACACTCTTCAAAGGAATATAACAGAATCCAGAGTCTTTACAAGGTATCAACCACAATTTCCAGTATACAATTAAAAATTACTAAACCTGCAAACGAACAGGAAAATATAACCTACAGATAAAGAAAAAAGTAGTCAATAGAAATTGATGCCAAAATAGCCCAGATATTGAATTTAGCAGAAAAAGACTTTAATGCAGCTATTTAAAATATGTTCGGAGAAATAGAGGAAAATATGTTCAAAGAATTAAAGGAAAATACAATAACAATGAGTGGACGGGTAGGGAATTTCAGCTCAGAAATGGAAACTACAAAAAAAAAGTACAATAAGTGAAGTGAAAATTAACTGGATGAGTTAACAGCAGACTGGAGATGGCAAAAAAAAAAAAAAGAGCCAGTGACCTTTAAGAAAAATCAGTAGAAATTATCCAATCTGAAAAACAAAGAGAAAAAATTGTTAAAATATTGAAGAAAAATGAAGAAAGCCACAAAGATCTGTGGGAAAATATCAAATAGTCTCATATTCATATAACTGCAGTCACAGGAGAAGATAGTACAAATGGGGCAGAAAAAAATATTTGAAGAATTAAGTGGCTGAAAATTTTCCAAATATTATGAAAAATATTAATTCAAGAAGCTCGGCAAACCCCAAGCAAAAGAAATACAAAGAAAACCACACCATAGCAGATCACAGCTAAACTGGTGAAAACCAAAGATTAAAAAAAAAAAAAAAAGATCTTGGAAGTAGTCAAGAGAAAAAAAGACATACCACATACAGGAGAACAACAATGCAAATGACAAGAAATAATGGAAATAAACAGACAATAAACAAAGTGCTGGGGGAGGGGGAGTGCTGAAAGAAATAACTTTCAACACCGAAGTCTATATCCAGCAAAAAATATCATTAAAAAATGAGGGTATTTTTAATTCCAAAAAATAAAGATTTTTCGAATAAACAAAGGGAAGAGAATCTCACTGGAAGGCCTGAACTACAAGAAATGCTGAAAGATATTCTCCAGGCTGAAGGGTAATAATACTAGATGAAAACTCAGATCTACAAAAGGAATAGAAGCACCAGGAATAGTAAATAGTTGATAAATATAAATACTAATTTGTTTCTTCTTGTACTTTCCTTTTAAGACAACTGACTGTAAAAGTATAAACAATAACTGTGTCATGGATTGAACTGTGTCCTCCCAGAATATCTGTCAACTTTGCTAGGTAATGATTCCCAGTATTGTATGATTGTGTAATCTGATGTGACTTATGTGTTGTAAACTCTATCACTATGATGAGGTTATGCTGATGATGTCTGCAAGACTGGACAGTGTCTTAAGCCAATTTCTTTTGAGATACAAAAGAGAGAAGCGAGCAGAGACACATGGGAACCTCACACCACCAAGAAAGCAGTGCTGGGAGCAGAGCATGTCCTTTGGACTGAGGTTCCTGCACTGAGATGCTCCCAGACCAAGGAAAGACTGATCCATGGACCTTCCTCCAGAGGCAACAGAAAGAGAAAGCTTCTCCTGGAGCTGATGCCCTGAATTTGGACTTGTAGCCTACTGGACTATGAGAGAATAAACTTCTCTTTGTTAAAGCCATCCACTTGTGGTATTTTTGTTATAGCAGCATGAGATGACTAAGACAAACTGTAAGATGGGGTTTATAATATAACAGAAACAAAAAATCTGACAACAATAGCACAAAGGCTAAATTGGGCAGATAAATTATACTGTTGTAAGGTTACTACACTTGTGAAATGGGAGTGTGAAGTGTCAGATGTGAAATGGAAGTGTTAAGCATCAGGTGTGAAGTATGAAGTGGTATAATACTGACTCTAAACAAACTTTAAAAGTTAAGAATACATATTGTTAGCCCCATAGCAACTGGTGAAAAAAAATAAGCCAATAGAGGAAATAAAATGGTATCCCAAAAAGTCTCTAAATAAACATACAAAGGGGGAGAAAGTGGGAAATAAACAAAGGAACAAAAAATAGAAGCACCTAATAAAAAACAAATAGCAAATGGTAGGCTTAAACTCAACCATGTTTAACAATTACATTAAATATAAATGGACTAAATACTCCAATTAAAAGGCATAGGTTGTGAGGTCTTAAACGCTTGTGAGTGGCCATCCAAGGTACAACAATTTGTCTCTATTTTCAACTGGAGCAACAAAGGAAGGAGAGTCAGGAATAGGAGCAGGAAATGGAATATGTGGCTAATTGCCTCCATGACCAACTGTCTCCTTTGCCATGCGTCTTGGTTATCTAGTGCTGCTATAACAGAAATACCGTAAGTGGATGACTTTAACAAAGAGAAATTTATTCTCTCACAGTCTAGTAGGCTACAAGTCCAAATTCAGGGCATCAGCTCCAGGGGAAGGCTTTCTCTTTTCTGTCAGCTCTGGTGGAAGGTTCTTGTCATCAGTCTTCCCCTGGTCTAGAGGTTTTTCAGCACAGGGACCCCAGGTCCAAAGGACATGCACTCCTGCTCTTCTTTCTTGGTGGTATGAAGTCCCCACTCTCTGCTAGCTTCCCTTTCCTTTCATCTCTTGTGAGATAAAAGGTGGTGCAGGCCACACCCCATGGAAACTCCCTTTACATTGGATCAGGGATGTGACCTAAGTAAGGGTGTTACATCCCACCCGAATCCTCTTCAACATAATCTAATCTTGCCTCATTAACCACGGGAAGAGATGAGGATTTGCAACACATAGGAAAATTATATCTATCACAAAATGGAGGACAACCACACAATACTGGGAATCATGGCCTAACCAAGTTGACACATATTTTGGGTGGACACAATACAATTCATGATACCAGACCAGAACTGGATGGTGCCTGGCTATTACTGAACATTTTGATCAAAGATTCTGTAGAAGAATTCTTATCAAAAGGGGGAAAATGCAGAACAGAATCTAAAATTCTCATGTAATCCAGCCTTT